TTTAAATAAGAAGAAAGAAAATAAAAATAAAAAATCTCTCGAGACATGAGTTCATTTTTTTTTTAAACCACGTTAAACCCTGCTCCCGAAAAGAGAAAAATTGTCATCGATTCTCATAAAACAATATTTTTTTTTTTTTAGTTTTTGTCCCCTTCTTGTCGTCTGTTCTGCTGCCTCTTTTTGTTGTATTTTTGCGGGATTTAACTCTTCAGACCTTCCATGGAAAACAGCGTCCAATGGCCGGAGATGGTGAGCGCTGGTGAAGTCGGAAGTGACGAGGACGCATGCACACAAAGAATACTAATTAGTAAGAATCGGGTTTCGAAGGATACCGATGAATGTGTTTAGAGGAGGGGGATTTGATTAAGTGAAAACTTCAAGCTAGCGGATTAATTACTCACAAACTACATGGGTGGGGACTAACAAAAACGTGGGGTGAGAAATAAAAGATGGGATAAAGTCTATTAAAAAAGAAAGAAAGAAAGAAAGAAAGAGGAAAACAAAAACGGTAAGAGGGAAAGGAAAAAGAAAGAAGGAAGGAAAGTAAGTGTGAATGAAAGAACAGAGTGAAAGTATTAAATCAACAATTAAGATAGAAAGAGAGAAAGAATGAAAGAATGAACGAGGGAATGAAAAAAGAAAGAAAGAAGAAAGACAGAAAGAAAGAAAGAACGAAAGAAAATTCAAAGTAGAAAGGAAGCATGAAGCAATGAAACGAATAAAAACTCAACTAGAAAGAAAGAAAATGAGGGAGGATGGGAGGAAGGTTGAAAAATGAAAGCAAGGAAGAATCAATTAAAAAGAAAGAAAGAAAGAAAGGAAGGAATGGTTAAGTGAAAGAAAGAAGAAAAAAAGGAAAGCAGGAAAGAAGAAAGAAAGCAAAAAGAACGAAAGAAAGAAAGAAGTAGGCAAGGCAGGATAGTAAAGAAAGAAAATAACAATTACTAAAGAAATAAAGAAATGGTAGTGAATGAAAGGAGAAAAAAAGAAAGGTTAAAAGTGAAAGAAAGAAAGAATGAATGAAGTAATGAAGGAAATTAGGATTAAATGAAAGAACACGAGAGAAAGAAATAAAAAATAATGAAAAAAAAAAAGAAAGAAGGAAAGAAAAAATTTCCGAGATTCTGAGAAAGATTTGCATTTATAGGGCATTATTCAACTTTGCTTGACCGGCGACGCACTCTATAGCATGTCGGATCTAAAGAAGATTTCTCGAGCTAAGGAGGACACAGTTTCAAATCCTGACGGAGTTTTTTCGAATATTCAGGCCGGTAAAAATAAATAAATATACTGTTTAATAAATAAATGGAGTGTCAATTCAAATATGGGTATACACTAAAAATAACACATAAGTTGCAATATATATATATATATATATATATATATATATATATATATATATATATATATATAAATCCATAGTCCCAATAAATAGTTTAAATGCCTTACAAAAAAAGATAACCCTTTATGAAGTCGTCAAAAAACAAATGTTACGGCAGTTTTTATATACACAAAACCCTTTCAGAAAAAAATAAAACAAAAAAATAAATAAATCTCCATAGACACGTAAACCAGACTAGGCGAAATCATCTTCCGTTTTAAATTTAGACACCCCAACCTTACCCTGACTTGACATCTGTAAATGTAACTTTATACTGATACAAATTATTAACACCTTACACCCTTGTTTATTTAAACAATTGCTCTAGCCGTTACCATAGAAATTTTGATTTCATTAATGAATATGCTATTAAAACACGTAATTTTCAGAAATAAGTTATTCCAAAAAAAATTTCGCTTGAAGATGGAACAGAGCTTACTTTAATTCAATTTCATTCAAATAATTATATTGAAGTTTTCGGCTCTTGTTCTGAAACATGAGAACTCTTATGCAGCGTGTTGGAATCATCTCCATCTGGCTTTATATACACACACACTGCGTTTCAAATTATTAACAAGGTGATACTTTTCCATCATATCCAAAACTACTGGTCGGAATTTAACGAACTTATCAGAGAATAATGACAATATATATATATATATATATATATATATATATATATATATATATATATACACCTACACTGTAAAAATTGTAAGGTTCTAGAAAAAGGAACAGCGGTTACGGTCATTTATCCAATTTGCTTCATTTATTAGTGTGTTAAATTATTAGTGAAGTATAATAAATAACTCTGTAAAAAAAAAAAAAAAATAACAACTTTAATTACTTCGTTTACAGATTTTTATGGATACATCCAGTAACTAAGATGAAATTAAATTGAAATAAAAAGTAAACCGTTCAAAAAGGATAATGGATTTGGTCAATTTGAGATCTGTGGAAAAGATGTTGATCCATTGAACATGTCAATATCTGTATCTCCCCTGATGTAATTTCGCGTGATACGTTGATTATTTCCTGTCATAAGTCATCCTTGTTTCTATGTTGGCGACCATTCTCATAAACATGTCGTTTCAGAATTCTCCACAAGTTTTTATTTCGATTTAAGTCTAAAGAATTAACCGCCCAATTCATCTTCCGAGGTCCACAGAAGCTTAATTTCTTCAGGTACTCCCTAGTTTTATGCGCTGAATGCGAAGGAGCATTATATTGCATAAGCACAATGGTTCTCCTGAAGATGATTCTTTGCTTTTTTTAGCCAAGATTCCAGGTGCTCTTTGAGGAAGGCTATATAAGCATCTAAAGTTATTTTAGTACCATCAGGAACTCTCCACGGACCAAACAATGATACTCCAAATAAAACCGACCCAAATCATAATACTTCCTCCTCCTTGTTGGCGTGTCAAGCATTGATGACGATTTTGTCCATTTACGACCGAACCTTTGCTCCAACCATCAGAGCCTTCAAGTGTTGCACGTCTTTCATCTCTTAACAGAACTTTCGAGAAATCGACCTTCAGGTTCTCCTTTGGCAATTTCAAAGGCATTTTTTGTGTACTTTTGTCAATCGAGGCTTTGTTACTGGTCTCACTAATGTCCCGAGCTTTTTCAGAAGACGATAGCCAGTACTTCTGGACACGGTTGCTTCTCCAGTGTTTATGAAAAGACCTCCACTGGTCGGGCCTGGTTTATTTACACATTCACGTTTCATTTGTGTCAAAGAACATCGGGAAACAACCCTTGAGTGACCCTTATCGGTCCTCTTACTTACCTTAGCAGGAGCTGCAACAAATCTTCTCACAGTTTGGTGATATCTTCCAATTATTCTAACGTGGATTTGGCTCTGTAATGTTCAGATGTTATAATATCTTCCTCAGAAGACGTCAAATCAAATTTGCGACAAATAATTTCACGATTATAATGACACTCATTTATAATATGGAACACTTCTATATCGTGCTAAAAATGCAAATGGCCACCATTTATTTCCTGTTGCGCAGAACAATACAGATTTTATACAGCCTGCGCATATATCTATTCCCATTTTACGTCAAATTCCGACTGGGAGTTTTTGGACAAAATGAAAAAAATTTAACCTCGTTAATAATTTGAAACGCAGTATATACTAGTGTATCGTTGCCGTTAAAGTTGACAAGGAGGAATGTATTATAAGTAATATGTATTATATTGTAATTTTCGTTTAATCAATGTGCAATTTTGTAAGTTAAAATAGTTTGTTGTTAACGTTAATAATTGCAAAGTATACTATCCTCATAAATGTTACATATTTACGACGAAAATTATGTTAACTGAAAGAAAGGAGGAAAAAATAAGGGCGGAATGAAAGAAAGCGAGAAAAAGGAGAAAAAGAAGGAAGAATGTAAGGAAAGTAAGAAAGAGTGAATGAAAGAACCAGAGAGAAAGAAAGAGAACAACAATTCAGAAAGAAAGTGTAAAACAATACAAGAAAAGGAAATAGGGGAAGAAAGAATGAAAAAAAAATAATGAATGAAAGAACAAAGACAAAAAAAAGAAAGAAAAGAAAGATGGCAATTATGAAATAAATCGATCATTGAAAGAATGGTGAAAAAAAAAAGGAAAGTTAAGAGGGGAAAAAAGCGATAAAGTGAGATTGAAAGACTGAGAGAAAAAAAAAAGAAAGAATAACAAAGAAAGATAAAACAACGAAGAAGGCGAAAAAGAAGAATAGAAAGACGGGAAAAAAAGAGAAAAGAAAGAAACATAGGAAGAGAAAGAAAGTTAGAGTAAAGAAGTAGAAAGGATAAAATAAAGAAAAAAACTAAGAGGGAAAAACAAAGAACGAAAAACGGAAAAAGACAGACAGAAAGAAAGGAAGGAAAGAAGAAAAGTGAGACTGAAGAGAGAAAGGGTGAAGGAAAATAGTCATTCAAAGCTGGTACAATTAGGTAGGAGCATTTTTGTCCTGGAAATTGCGCAGGCGATTTTGGTTCAGCAGAGTGCAGAGGACAAAAAAAAAAAAAAAAAAATGAAAAAAATAAATATGACACGCTTTAAAATGCGGACAGAAAATCAAAATCAAATCAATCATTATCCCTCCCAAGAAAAAATCATGGAACATTGTTCAACGTTATATAAATTTAGTTCTTTCTTTCTTTCTTTCTTTCTTTCTTTCTTTCTTTCTCTCTTTCTTTCTCTCTTTCTTTCTTTCTCTCTTTCTCTCTTTCTTTCTCTTTTCTCTCTCTTTCTCTTTCTCTCTCTCTCTTTCTCTCTCTTTCTTTCTTTCTCTTTCTCTCTCTTTCTTTCTCTTTCTCTCTCTTTCTTTCTTTCTCTTTCTCTCTCTTTCTTTCTTTCTCTCTGTTTCTCTCTCTTTCTTTCTTTCTTTCTTTCTTTCTTTCTCTTTCTCTCTCTTTCTTTCTTTCTCTCTCTTTCTCTCTCTTTCTTTCTTTCTCTCTCTTTCTCTCTCTTTCTTTCTTTCTCTCTATCTCAACATTTTCATACGGGAGAGTGTGCTTGGAGTAGGTATATTATTAGTATTAGAGATACAATCTCTGAAAAGGCCCGTAAATTGATACACTACATTGTTTTTTGTAGAGGGTGTAATTGCGTGTTTGTAGGATTATTAGAGACCACGAGAGAGAGAGAGAGGCGGAAAGAGAGAGAGAGATGGAAAGAGAGAGAGGGAGAAAGATAGAGAAGTGGAAAGAGATCTAGAAAGAGAGACGGAGAGAGCGTGGTTGTAGTAGGTCTATTATTAGTATCAGAGATACAATCACTGAAAAGGCCTGTAAATTGATACACTTTTTTTTGTGTAGATGATGTAATTGTGTGGTTGTCGGGTTATTAGAGACTATGAAGTCAATTGTTTTAAATTTTTTATAATATATGATGACCTTAACTTGTTTAGTATTATTTATGGGTTTAATATTTCTACCTATTATGTTTTTGAGTGTTTTTTCATCATTTTTGTTATTATTATGTATTTGGTTACAATATTATAAGTTAATAGTATTGTGTTTATTTTGACGTACACTATTATTATTAATATTATCAAGTTGTGATATAAATCTGAAAACACACACATATATCATTGAATATGAAGGACAAGTTTTATATTAATCTTATAAGGATTTTGTGCAACGTAGAATTACTATTATATCCCAACTAGCTTAGAATTATTATGTACATGACTATATTTTTCTAAGAAATGTTGTTTAATAGAACAAAGATTCGAAAGGTGACAGGTAAGTCTACGGGAGGGTGTGGTTATAGTAAAACCAATATATGTAGTGGGTTTATAATTAATATCAGAGATAGAATCTCTGAACAGGCCTGTAAATTGATACATTACATTGGATTTTTTGTCGAGGATGTAATTGTGTGGTTGTACGATTATTAGTGATTATGAAGTTAATTATTTAAAATTTTTTATAATATATGATGACCTTAACTTGTTTATTATTATTTATGGGTTTAACATTTCTACCTCTTATGTTTTTGAATGTTTTTTCATCATTTTTGTAATTATTATGCTTTTGGTTACAATAGCATAAGTTAATAAGGCTATGTAGGGACGTACATTATTATATGCACGTCCCTATAGACGTATATAGCCTACGAGAGAGCGTGTTTGTAGTAAAACCAATATATGTAGTATAAGCTAATAAGTATTATGTTTATTTTGATGTACACTATTATGTTTATTATTAATATTATCAATGTCTTTAGAGGTATTTTTGTTGGTCCATGACAGAATTAGGGAATCCATTATTAAAAAGCGTTTGTTTAATGTTATATCCTTTATAGAATATGGTTTTGGAAGAAGATATAATTTGTGTGCATTGGATTAATTTTTTTATAAGGGCTAACTTTATATCGTTGGGGGCATTCACTATTATAATTAAAAAGACACAAATTAATGCTAGTGGGTTTCCTATATAGAGAATTAGTAAATTTATGTGTGCTGGAATCAATAAATTCATCAAAGAATGGAATTTTATGATTAATATTAATTTCTAATATAAAATGTCCGTATAACCACTCTGAAGATGGCTGATGTGACCCGAAAACTTAGATCAAGAATAGACTTAATAAAAAAAAATATCTTAATGTTGGACAAATTTGTTTTTATTTTCACCCGAAATTGAAGCAACCATACGAACATTAGAATAGCTCATGATCAGACACAATAGACATTCATTGTCTGTTATATTTAACAATATATCTTTATATATATATATATATATATATATATATATATATATATATAAACACACACACATATATATATATATATATATATATATATATATATATATATATAAGCAACCAAACACACACATACACACACACACATATATATATATATATATATATATATTGATATCAGTATTAATTGATTGATTGATTTCAGCATTAAAAAAAAATTTGTAGAAAGTTGAAATAAAAATACTGTGTAAGCAACTCATATTTCAAAATCTTATTCTCTTAAAGTATTTTTAATCAGATTAACTTAAATATATATTTTTAATATGCCAAAAAAATTTTTTTCAATATTCAAAATATTGTTTGTTTAGAGAAAATTGAAATATAGATAAGAACGAACGCAATCACAGGGAGGTGGAAAGAGAGAGAGGTGGTAAGAGAGAGAGAGGGAGAAAGAAAGAGAAGGGGAAGGAGAAAGGTGGAAAGAGAGAGGTGGAAAGAGAGAGATAGGTGGGAAGAGAGAGAAGAGAGAGAGAGAGGGAAGAAGAGAGAGGTGGAAAGAGAGAGAGAGAAAGAAAGAGAAGGGGAAGGAGAAAGTTGGAAAGAGAGAGGTGGGAAGAGAGAGACAGGCGGAAAGAGAGAGAGTGGTAAGAGAGAGAGAG